ATCAGTCAACCCTAAAAGAGTTCAAGGCTTTAATCATAACAAAGTAAGCGTTAGACATCATCAGAGGTCCATTAAGCCTACTTTATGTTACAAAAATTCTATCAGGTTTAGTTCCTTGATATTCAAGTCCATGGTAAACGAAAAGTTGTGGTGAAATTATTGAAGGGAAGCAGACCAGTCAAGAAAGGATACAAAACACTAGTAAAAGCAAGTAAAAGAAGTCAGAAAGCACAGACATACTCAAGTTTTGAAAGGCAGTATACAGTAATTGTTTTTCCTTATAATCACTAAAGAGAAGACAAAAGCAAAAAATGTTCAACATACCCTGCTTGCATATATTACATGCATTTTGTTTGAGTAAAATAGTCAAGTAACCTACAGGAAATCTCTTACAAAAAAGAACTACAAATTTTAGGGGAAGGAGAGGGAAAACGCCTAATTTCTCACTTGGCTACACTCACTGTACAAAAGGGACAGTTTAGTAAATGCAAAGATAACACCATCAGACATTTTGAAATAACAGAACATACGAAAAGAAGAAAAAGCAGAGCAGACACTCAAGTTGTAATGTTGATTATCAAACATAATAAAAGCTCATAACAAGTCAACATATTCCTTTACACCACCAATTCACATTACTTTTTAGCACGTAAACATAAATAATTTCACTTCTGCACTTGTTTCCTCTTTTGAATAAAGAACATAAGAACAGCACAGGTCACAGAAATACATGGTAGGTTAAATCCCTGACACAGCGGCTGACACACTTCAAGTAGCTTGAAATAAATGTAAGCTGCTATTATTACTTTGCACTCAGACTAGTCATAAAACATGATTCTCAACTTTTACCAAGAGATAGAGGCAATTTTTGAATCTTTTCCATTTGAAATTGTCTTATTCTGCCTTCACCCCACCTCCAAACACAGGCATCTTCTAACAGATGCTAGATAGGAACCAAGTTACTCCATCTTCCTCATTAGAGTCTATGCATTACTAACTTTTAAAAACTTCACATAAAGTAATTTGCAAAAAGCAAGTAATAAAAAAAGTTGGTTCTTATTCCAAAAAATTTTTCATGTTCCATGGATATGCTATCCCAAAGGAGTTTACTTCCTTCTTTCTTTTGGTGAGGTTATTATTCAAAGAAATACAGCCAATGGCTTCCGCTTTCCTTCACACCCACTCATCCCTAAATATGTAATTGCTTATTTGTGTGTGTGCAAAGGGTCAGAAAAGGTAGTAAGGATGGGGTAATCAACAAACCAAGTATCTTTGTGGTTTAAAACAAAGATTTACTTCTCACTTTTAAAAAAATCATTTTATTGGGGTCTCATACAACACTTATCACAAACCATATATACATCAATGTGTAAAGCACATTTGTACATTCATTGCCCTCA